TTGGAAATGGTTAATTTTCAAAGAGAAGTGCTTCATCCATATCTCCATTGATAAGGAGAAGTCTAAAAGACTTAGAGAGAAGTCGATCAGTTGATCTTCTTTCTTTCCATTTCTCCTTGTTGAACCATTTCTCTCTAAAAGAAAAACCATTTCCCTTTAAATTCAAGTATATGCACAATATCATAGAATAGATTATATGTATATATATATATATGTATTATATATATATTTGTTTTCTTTCTTTCCATTTCTCCTTGTTATCCATGATTTTATGTGGGGTGAAGCATTTCTCCATAAACGGGAACAATTTCCCCAACGACTTCGTACTATTGTCCACTGCTGTTAAAATACCCACATGAAATATTAAAAAATTACTCGAATGATGTTAGGAATGTTAAAGACTAATTAAATTTTTTTCTCATAACAAGTTATCCAATCAAATGTGACAAGATGCACTATTGCGTGTTAGACACAGCTCGACGAACTCTATCGAACAGTGTATTTAGGTTTTAAGAGAAGATATAAAACAATTTCATATAAATAAAAATATTATTTTTCACCATACCGAAAAATATAAACATAAAATATTCTCTAAAACTATTCAATCCATCATCCATGACTATTTCGAAGTTTGCATCAATCGATGCAGGTCGACATGCTCTATCTGATAATGTCTCTGACATCGTAGTCAATTAAACTAGTAAAACGTTAAGATTATTCTAAAGCGATAAAAGGAGGATTCCATGGGTATTTCATCGAAGGATTCAGTCTAAGATTAGTGCTACATGAGAACCTATTCCATTTGACTCTGTCGAATGATAGAAATTTCAAAAGTGACAAGGATCGTAAATCGACTTTTTTAAGGGAATATTTTAGTTTTTCATTTTTGCTTTGCTCGGACATAATAGTATTTAATATAATTGTTTTTATCTTGTTCTGAAATCCAAACAGAACGAAGTACTCGATAGAGCTGGTCGAGCTGTATCTAGCAGACTCAATTATGCGAATCTTTTTGGAAAAACAGTAGAGTCAATCACTAAGCTTCCTTGATTAGCTGTAGTAACTTTTTAAAATCTCATGCAGTTATTTTCATCCTAAAAAACTAATGAATGAGATTTTGGGTTTAACGAAAGCAGCGACCATATGAAATTCTAACGTAATACCGTATTCACCAATATGCCAATACACAGGATTTTGATATACTTATTAAAAAATAAACTCTACTCTCCCTTGCTGTAAACCGCTATCGATTGATAGCCCATGATAAAATGAACGTTTTTTGTAACGGATTCAGGATGAAATTCCAAAGTTCCGGTAGTGAAATAAGTTTATTTACTGATTTTAGCGAGATTTCTATGTATTTTACATTAGCTGTTCTAAATAGGAACAGTTTTTCGCTTCCTATCATAATAAGGTACAGTGTACTTATTTAGAACATTCGAGGTGTTAAAGGATCTATTCATATCTCAGTTATTCAATATGATATAGAGCTCAACCTCGAAATGAATATTTCTCATTGAATGAGGAAGATTTTTTCATTAACGAAAAATGGAAAATTTTGAAGTTGTGACTATGAAATCCAGTGATTTTTTAAAATTTGATATTTTTTGCTCATTCTTCGCTTGGTGTTCTAGTTTGGAACACTTTTTTGCTTGCTGTTGCAATTAGAAAAAGTGCTCTTATGTAGAAAAAATGCTCTACTCATTAAACTACGTAGTGATAATAACTCATCTGTTTTTAAAGGTAAATATGTGGTTTTTACATCATTCAATGCAGCAGACAATGCCGATCTCGATTATGTAGAAAAAATCTAAAAAATGTTACACAAGCCCTATCTAATAGAGCTGTTTTTCACAGCTGTAGCAACTTGTTCTAATTAGGAACATTGACTCTAACAATCAATTAATGTTCCACAAAAAGGATGAAGTTAAAAATTGTTTTATTACCGATGGAGAAAAGGATACAAACGATGTAAATGTTTGATACTAATCTTTGGCGAACGATTAATGTATGAAGAATTATAACTCTTCTAATTAACAAGTTTCTCTATTGCGTTACTTGTAAACCATTTTCTTTCTTCCTCGCTGAAGATTAATCTTTTCACATTCTTAGTTGCTTCATTTGCCTTTTTTTTCACTTTTATTATTCTGTTATAAGGTGACTAAAATGTCCTGGTTCGCTTGGGAAGTGGCTTAGGTTTGATTTTTTCAAAATACAAACCGACACGAAAAACGAAGTTTATTGACTTTTATTAGCAATAACGAAAGTTTTTTTAATTTTTCATATAATAATCTTCTTATTTCAAACAATTGTTATCTAAGCGTTTTCTCTCATACTGCAAGACCCATTCATAATAGCACACTTTAGCTAAAGAACAAATAAAAACACTTGCTTAATTCGATGGTGCTCCTGATGAAAATGCTGAAGTATTTGATCGAACACAACTATAATCATCGAATAAATATTTAGGTGTACTCTCATATTTAACTAATGCTACTGCGAAAGGATTTCGATAGGACAAGTCTACTATTCTTGAGTGGTCTACGTTAATGATTGAATTTATTACGTTTTATCAGGCATCATTTAATCAAACATTATAAACAATTGAACATCGGCGACAATCACATCATGAATCTATTATGGGAAATTATTATAATAAACTTCATTGATGTTTACAGGTTGACCGTAATATAAGTTCAATAATTACAATTCATTATTTTTTCAAAGGTTTAAATAGTAAATTTAATTTACATTACATGGTTTATCATATAACTCAACACCCTCGACTGATAATTATTCAAATAATGATGATCCATTGATGTAATGGTTACACCTGTGAAACAATCAACTTATATGAATACACGTTCATCTAATTCTCAACAATACGAAATACTTCCACTAACACTTATTAATCCAAAATATGTTCCTAATCGTTCATCATCTTCAATTCGTCGTAACGAAAAGCAAAATACATCTTCATCATATGCATCACGTCAATGTTATCAATATTACGCATTTGAATATATTCCCACATATTGACCGAATGATTGAAAAACATCTAAGTTGCTATTGAGATGGTAGTACATCGATGAAGACGAAAAAGTCACAATCTCCTTGTTCAGCATCAATTAGTGTTCCTGTTAATAACATTTTGACCAAATTTTTGCTGATAATGGTGCCACTATATCAATTATACGTGAACAAACATTACAACGCATGCAACGTAATGAAATTGCTTCATATTCTGTAAAAGAAGTTCATATATAGTGGCAGCAAAAATTATTAGTTCGATTTCGTTTTGGGGTGGGTGTGGGTGTGGGTGTGAGTGCGAGTGTGACTGTTGGTGTGAGTATTCCTGCATCTAACTATTCATAATTAAGGTTTTTATAACTACAAGTAAGGTTCACCGACGTTAAAAGTCGATTCACTGGGCCCTAGACTGAGCAAATGAGGCAACTGCTAGTACATTGCAGTACCAAACATTTTCATTCAAATTCTCACTATGGAGAAGAATGTTCCACTTGATTCGAGTGACATTAACAAGATGAGATGAAGTAAAAGGATTTAGCGAAAAAAAGCGATGGGAATAAAACTAACAGATAATACAATCTTTTAGTCACTGAAAACATTCTCTTACACCACTTGTTTTAACGACATAGTTGCTTATAGTTGCGTGTATTCACTTTT